TAAAAATATTTGTATATAATATATCTTATATTTAAATAAGAAGATGAGGTATGAGTGCCAATGAGACAACTCTCCATCAAAGTCACAATGTGTAAAAAGTAAACAAGTATAGGTCAAAGTACGGCCTTCAACACGGAACCATGGCTCACAACGAACAGCAAGCTACAAAGGCCCCGAAATGACTAGTTTAAAACAATTCAAATAGGAAAACAAACGGTCTAATCTATATAAAAAACGATAAACGAGAAACACTTATGAACCACATCAACACGACAACCACTGAACAACAGGCTCCTGGACATGTGAATACAAATGCAGCGGGTATAAACGTTTTAACAGGTACCAACCTTCACCTTAACCATAAGCAGTAGTGTAACATTACAACATAAAAAGACACAATATTAAAAATCAATTGAAATGGCTTAGCTTGGTAAAAAAAGACATATATAAGAAGACATTTATAAGATATTTTATATAGTTTATAAAATATCTCATTTAATTCATAACATATTTTAGAAAGAAAATTATATGAGATATCTTATAAACTATATGAGATATCTTATAAACTATAACTATATTAAGATATCTTATAAACTATAACTATATTAAGATGTCTCATAAAGTATATAAGATGTCTTATAAACTATATAAGATATCTTATAAACTATATATTTATTACGTTGAAAAGATGTCACTATTTATATAAAAAAGAAAATGTGGTATGATTGCCAGCGAGACAACTTTCCATAAGAGACCAAATGACACAGAAATTAACAACTGTAGGTTACCGTCCGGCCTCCAACAATGAGCTAAGCCCATACTACTATAAAAGGCTCCAAAATGACAAATGCTTAACGATTCAAACGAGAAAACTAACTGCATAATTTATGTACTAAATAATGAACGAAAAACAAATATGAAACACAGCAACAAACGACACCACTGAATTACAGGTGTGCAGGTTTCTGTGCAGATACGAATTAATTTGCCAAAAACAAGTTACATCTTGTATCTTTTATTTTAGGGCCATGCAATAGTAGAGCCGCCCATATCAAGTCAGTTGTGAAGCGATACATAAATGAATATCATGATGTCACTTCAGCTGAAGAAATTAAAGTATTATGTATATATCATGATTTTGTAAATATTTCCTTTCATCTTGGTATCTGATCTTCTTTATTATGCAAAAAGAAATTGATAACACTAAACAGACTACATTGGTCCTTTACAATATGAAATGAAGGACATCGCTTCAGTGACAAAATGGTACTAAACAGTTGGGTGATTTCGGTTTATCATTTATTGCGTCTATTTTTTCATGTATTTCATATGGTACAGACCAAAGGGGATGCAAACTTTGTACTGCTCTTGTTTAGATTTTACTTCATAAAATAAAAACCCTACATAAACATTGCTATGTGTCGTATATAAATGTGTTTTCAGACGTGTACATTATAATATTAACAATGTATATTTTTTAGGCCATAGAAACAAGACAAAATTAGCAATTAAGAGTAAAAGTTGTGGACACAGTAACTGATATTGATGTTGAAAAGAACACTACATAATCAATCCAAGGAATTACCCAACTTCATAACTTCCAGTTTGAGTCTGGTGGATTGAGAGTATAGAAAGCTTACACAATAGGAAAAGGTAAAGCGTTCTGTGAATTACATGAAAATACTTTCTCAGATTTCAGGCATAATATATCATGTTTTATCCGGAGATGTTTTCAGAAGTATTTATAACACTTCAACCTTGTAACAAAGCTTTTGAGGCAATATACTGTTAGGTTTTGTTTGTCAATCTATCTGTCCCCAACTAAGCAATAACAAGTCATTAGAGAACTATAAGTATGACCTATATTTTATGCATGAATGAATTAGTGACTTTGTTAAGTGTTTCATTCATATCTATGGGTACATGTTTATTTAGCTCCTATTTGTAGAGTAATTTTATTTCATTTTAGGACAACTTATTTCGTGGAAATAACTTGAGTCTCCACCCAAGTCAACTGAACTTCTTGTGAAAAAAAACTGGACAAATGAGGATACAGTCAGCAGATTAGTGAATACTGAAGGTAGGTATACTAAATAATAATGTTGCAGTCAGCTGGCAGTATGTGAGAAAAATATTAAATCAGACAAGGAAAATATTTCCTACTGTATGATATTAGCTTTGCCCTAATATTGTGATTGTTATACTGAATGTCATCATCTAAAGTCATAGATGCCATGATTGAAATTCAAACGTTAGGGCATTTACCTGCTTTATTAAATTGATGACAACAAAACGCCCAGAAGCAGAAGCTCACATGACTCTTGGTGTCAGTTGAGGTAAGAACTAAGGCATCGAGGAAATAGATTTGGCCAGTGCACAGATGACTTGTTAATGTTATTCATAAAGGTTCTTGTCAATAGCAAATACAAAAAAACAAACAAAAAACAAACAAAACAAATACTCAATGGTAGGCACAACACAAAATACTATCAAAATGTAAATCAGAAACGATATCCCATCATCATGTGTTTGAACTCAGATTCGTCAGAAAAGTAAGCAGTTTATTTTACCCCTTGAGAGTCACCTGTTTGTCAAGTTCTGTTAAAAGACACGATTAGAGAGAATCTAATGAAGGGAAATATCAAGAGATACAAGAATTTTAAAGTTTATGTTTGTATTGCTGCTATGGAGATATACTATTTCTATGATATATTTTACATAAATGTTATTCAGTATCGAAATATGCATTTTGTCTAAATATTATCTATCAATAAAAAAAGAAATTTCATTCATAGATTTATTTATGTATTGTTGTACTTTTCCTTCATAACGATTACTTGATTACACGAAAATATATGTTACTATGGTAACAAATTGTTGTTATGCATACAAACATAAAGGTAGTTCTTTCATTCTGATTTTTTTTCATAACTTGAATACCACACAGCGTTACATATTACAACTGATCCTTTGTATGAGCAATTGTAAAAAAAAAAAAAAAAAAAAAGATCTTGGTTGTATTGGCTCAATTTGACCAGATACTGATTCATGGTATTTTTAGTATGATTTTAAATTGGTCATCCATAGAGACCCCGCTTATTTTTATTTTTTGTTCAGAATTTATTCATGGTATACCTACTTAGAAAACACAATATCAAGTCAAATTGTAGATTTTCTAAATTAGCACATGTTCGTTCTATTTTTTTTCTTGCAGATGTGTTAAACTTGAATGGATGAGATACTTTACCAATGTAGTAATGCATGCATGGGAATACATTTCCTTCAATATATGTTTTTTTTTTAGACTGGAAAATGTTCTTTTTTCCCTTAAAACAGGCCTAAAACAGAACAAAATTGAATGGTTCCCGTAACCATGGTAAGACACAAAGTGTTTCCATTTTTTTTTCTTCCAGTAATGTTTTATGATGAGACGAGTAATTTGACAAAGTATGACCGAAGCCTAAGTACATGCATTTCCAACCTCCTATTCAAATAGTATGGTCCTTACAGATAAATGGTAGTAAATACACACTCCTCCTTATATGATTTGAAAACGAAGACGTATCTGATATAAGAAACAGCCTTATATAGTGTTATGTATTGTATCTTGTTGTGTATGTTTAATATGGAGTTACAATCATAAAAAAAAATGACTTTCTTAGATTTATCAAATATAAAAGTCAAAACTACTTAATATCCTTAGTCAGGTTTTAATTCGATGAACAAGTCAAGTCTATTCTAAAAGTATCAGTAGTGATCGATTTAAAGCAATAGGAAACAAACTCAATACTTAGAAGGGGATTGACAATATGGAAAAAAAAAGTTAAATCACAAAAAAAACTGAACTCCGAGGAAAATTCAAACGGAAAGTCCCTAATCAAATGGCAAAATCAAAAGCACAAACACATCAAACGAATGGACAACAACTGTCATATTCCTGACTTGCAATATAAGCTATGATGGAAATAACATCAGTTCTCTTCTGGTGAGATTATGATAATTCAAACATAATGACCCATCGACAAAATGTAATTCTGATCTGGTTCTTATAGACTGTTTTAAACAATGCATGTCAAATCTTTAATTAATGCTTGTCCTTATCTTATTTCTATATTCTTTGTTAACCCGAACAACTAATCATACAACCAAACAAAGAGAATAATTGTAAACATCCAAACTAAACTACAACATATGATTGGACATAATGCATTTAAATATATCAATCGGAACGTCCATGTTCGTGGAATACAAAAGTTATTAATAGTTATGTTATTAAAACTTAATAATGTTGTAACTGTAAACAAATTAAACCAACATTCCGATTCATCTTACATTAAAAATAAGTAGCATTTTACCATTTGTTTACAACAATAATTTTTGAATACAATTTTTCAAATATAGCTAAACAGTAAACGTAAGAAAGCCCTGGAAAATAGTCAGCGAGTACTTTGGGTATCATTTGTTTGTCCTTTTCTTTATGGTTTACTTGTCTGTTATTCTATTGAAATGCATATTTTGGCTTCAGCAAAAAGTTACTACTCTGTCATATGTTTGCCTTAATCATCGAATTTAAAACCACAAAAACAAATAAAAGTACACAATTATTCATCATTTATCAATGCTTTTTTTACTGTGCATGATCATGTTTTTGAAAATAATGATGGTATAAATAAAGCTGTTCAAAGGCTTATTGTAGCAGGTTGAATAAATCCAAAGTAAGTAACCATGGGAATTTTAACTGTACTGTTGGTAGCCGTTGTTGGAACTGTCTACGGATATGGTGGTTATAGTAGTGGCTACGGCGGTGGTATAGGCGGAATTGGAGGAGGGGTCGTTGCTTCAGGTGGTGGCGGAGGAGGTGCAGGCATTGCTGTAGGTGGAGGCGGTGGCGGAAGGGGAGGAGGCATAGTTGGTGGTAATATCGGAGGTGGAGGAGGTGGAGGAGGAAGAGCCATTATTGTAAGCGGAGGCGGCGGAGGAGGAGGCATTATCGGTGGTAATATCGGAGGTGGAGGAGGATATGGAGGTTTTATCAGAGGACGTAAGTACATGATAGTATTGGACTCTTCAAAAGATTGGGTGTGTTGCCGATCAAAAAGACATTTATTAAATAACTAACTCCTTCAAGTAAAGTTGACTTTAGATGTATTTTGATATTTCCTTTTTGGTGACATATCTCTTCAATTGTTTTGGTTTGTAATAATGATGGTATAAATAAAGCTGTTCAAAGGCTTATTGTAGCAGGTTGAATAAATCCAAAGTAAGTCACCATGGGAATTTTAACTGTACTGTTGGTAGCCGTTGTTGGAACTGTCTACGGATATGGTGGTTATAGTAGTGGCTACGGCGGTGGTATAGGCGGAATTGTATACATCTTTGGCTTTTAAATATTCCTAGATATGTGTTCCTTGATAAAGGAAAAAGATAGAAAAGTGACTCGAACGCATCACATTTATTAAGTGTCGTTTTCGGTTTTTGATGTTAATAGGATTTTTTTCAAAGTTTACGTTTAAAAGGTGTTATGCATTGTGTAAAGGATGTCGAACAATCAGCTTTACCCAATTTTGACTGTTTTGTTATGAACTAGTTTTTTTTTCTATTGAATTGTTTCCTGTTTTCCACGTAGGGATAATTAAAAGCCGACTTTACGGTATGGGTTGTTCTCATAATTGAAGGCCTAACGGTTGTATATAATTACTTATACCCACTTCATTTGAACTTTGTTTGGCATTTGATAAGGGACTTTCCGTTTTGAAGTTTCCTTGGAGTTCGGTATTTTTGTTATTTAACTTTTTGGATAATTTCCTCATTGGCAAACATACAATATCTACTTATTTTTATATCAATATGATTGGTAATATATTGGTCTCAACTAGAAGTAAAATTGCATTAAGATTTCAACAAAAAAAAATTTCACATCCTAATCAATTCAATTGTATTTTTTTTCAAAATTTAAAACATTTCATATAGAATGCGATTTGTTATTTTGTTGGATTTTTCAATTTCTTATAAACAGATCCAATTCCATTAAATATATCTGGGCGTTTGGGGAATGAATATACTAGGTAATTTTACTAATCGTTTAGAATTAATGTATCTTTTTAATGTTATTGATCACAAGAGTGAGTTCTTCTTGTTTTAAGAGCCAGTCTGCCAGAAAACCATGCAACAGGCTCCAAATGCAATGTTATCATATTGACATAAAGTTTTGCATACATGATGCCTTCATAGCATCTATTATCTGTGCATTTTTTTAAATATTCAATGGTAGTCTCTTAATTGAACGCCATCTATATTTAGCCATAAGCTAAAACTTTCAGCAGTTTTAAGCTGACAAATACCAGTGTTTTTCAAAATGTTACTGCTTTATTGGTAAGAATAATGTATGTTCACTGTCAAACTATGTTAATAACTGAGATTAAATTTTATCAACTATATTTACTCATTCTGGTCTAAATATCGGAAGTTTTACGAAACTGCTAAAATGGTGAAATTTGCTAATTTTTAAAAGTCTATATTTTCTAAAGTGGCAAAAATATTCGAATGACATTTGTTTTTTTTTCTTAAACTCTAATCACCTAATCACCTAATCATGAATCTACAAAATATACAAAATCCAATATGGGCAAGTGATCAGAGTACTCAATGTAAGATTATTTCATTGAAAGAAATGTTGGTTTAGCAGGTTTTATCCCATATTAATGACTTTTCTCTTATTTGGACACATCAATAATCCCCCTTTGAGGCCCACCTTGTAGAAAATAAATACACGAGGCACAACTGAAATATTAAATTAGTATATCATAAAACGTTTTATATTAAACCCTATAGTTGTTGCAGAGGAGTTGCAGACCACAAGTTGTTACACTTCACAACTACTAATGTTCTCCTTATTGGTCCAAAGTTTCCACCATAATTCCTCAAGAGTTAAAACAAGCATACGGTATGCAATTTCACAACAAGACATATCATTAGTTTGGTTTAAATCCATTCCGTACTTTGAGAGAACTTAAGGGTTGTAGATATATTACAAACAAACAGATGGCCGAGTGGTCTAAGTAGTTCGACTCCAATCTTAATTGACTAGCATTGTCAGTTTTCCTATCGAAGGTCGGTGGTTTTCTCCGGGCACTCGAGCTTCCTCCACCAATAAAAACTGGCCGCCACGAAATAGCCCAAAAGCGGTGCTTAAAAGTGGCGTTAATACACCAAAAATGAAAAATCAAATCATTAGTTTGGTTTCAAACCATTCTGTACTTTGAAAGGACTTAAGGGTTGTAGATATATTACAAACAAACAGATGGACAGACAGACAAACAGACCGACAATATGAATATCATATGTTTCCCAGTTATCACTAGCATGAGTATAATAAGTCTCTTTACAAATGAGTAAAATGGATTCAGGGCAGCCATGAATAACAGGTTGAAATATCCCTTCTGGCATGTTCAAAGATTTGTTAAAAGAAGAACGCTGAGGGGATATGGTTGGATACTCATATGAATCTTTCCAACGGAATAAGACATGTGGAGAAAATTTGTCAAACCACCAATTACTATATTTAAATTGAAAAGGAGGATTTATTGTATAGATTCATGACACTAAAATTGTTATGTTTTTTTGATCAAAATCCAACAAATTAACATTGCTTTTGTTGCTGTTATTCAGCTAAAAGTCACAGTGATGCTTTTACCATGTACACAAAGCTCACACCTCACTGCAAGATCATAATTAGATTAAACACCTCCGCACTGTTTAACTTTATTTAGACTTTAACTGTAAGATTTGTATGTACATACAATTACATGTTATAACCATTTTCATTTTATGTTAATTCACAAAACATGTATTAAGGCAATTAATACTGGAAAGTAAGACACTAATACAATGACGATGGCATTTGCTTGTAATTACACTGTACTGTTTTGCAACAAGAATGAATGTAAAGTTGAAATGTCTATGATATCTGTAGAATAATATATGTTGCCAAGTCTGCAGAAACAGCATGTTCCGGTATGTCATCACTTGACATTCTATCAAGGTGTTTTGCATATTTTCATCATCAACTACATTCAAATTTTCAATTTTAACTAACGACGACTTTGCTTGATGTTTAGATCTAAGTTTGACAAATTTGGCAAATATACTCCAAACTTGAGATGCGTTAACCACTCATCAGAATTATTTTTTTTTGTTCCATAATCGTTTCTGAATAGTTTCAAGCTAACAAATTGGTCTTTTTTCTGTAGCACAGGATTCTACTTATATATCTTGAGTAAAATTCATTATCCCTACTGCTTAAACGTTTCAATGGCTAATAGAAACCGTAAAAGACCATCCGTCTGCAATATTCAAATTAGTGGTAAACAATGATTGTAGCAAAACTTTTGTCTTCATGAAATCAGTTACACATGTCTCAGCCCAGAAAAGTTTGACTTTGTAATAAATATTTTCTTTATTGACATATTCATGCTTGTCTATGCGTATATGATATTCAAAGAAGTGAGGCTTTTGTTCAAGCCTTTATGCAATTTCCTTCAGGACAAGCAAATAATGGTTCATCATCATCTGAATTATCATCAGTGTCGGCTATTACATTTGTTTTTGCAAAATATAAAGTTCCTGCTGATTCATTATATCCTCCATCTAATTTGTCTTTGCTTCTAAGAGTAAATAAAGGAAGCCGATAGGACAAAGTTCTTCTCGACAAATTGTACCTACATAAAAACCAAAACAATATCATCATACTCCATGGAATTGATTAAGCACAACGTACTCAACTATTGACAAAATGTTAGAATAATAGTGTTCTAGCTCAATGAAAAGTTCTTCTCAAAAATGTCCAAGGACATATTGTCGTCTCAAACAGACTGATTTTACCGATCTAAAAAAAGGGATTACAACTAGTGGAGCACAACAAGCTTTCCCTTTCTGAATATATTTCTAATGAAATATGAGTTCATGCCCCGTGAGGAATTTTAATTTTTCTACTTTTTTTAAGAGTGTTTTTTTTTTTTATTGGTTGGAAAAACTGTTTTGTTTGACGATTCTATAATAAAGTACTCTTTGACATGTTATTGCTTGCGAAAATGGCTCTATGCTTCCAAGGCAAATCGTCATAGTTTTATGTGATCATTTATAAAAATATACAGATATTTGATAACCCATATCAAATTCATGAACGTGTGCTAATAAATTGTTTCTAGCCAATGTCACAGTATATGTACTGACCTAGACCTGACAATAGTCAAAGACAAAAATCATCAACAAGTTGGTCCACTAACACAATGCATATTGACTCAAAGGAGAAACATGTTTATGAGCCAATGGTGAATTGTTGTCTGAGGGGGCCATTGATTTCAAAGATTTTATTTTAACCAATAATTTTATATATTACAAACTGTATGATATTCTGAGGTTTTTGTTTTTGTAATTTACTAAACGAAACACTCGATTGATGTGTGACCAAACATTGGCAGATTTGTTTTATGGGAAAGAGTCGTCACAATACAGTTTCATATGCATATGAAATGATTGTATTAATTAGAAAAAAAATAGAACAGAGAATACTCTTCAAGAAAGTTAAAGGTGTGGGATTTCTTTAATATACAGAAATATTGTCAGGTATCGGAATCGTCCTAGAAAAGAGTGAAAACATGTACTGTCAATTATCATGATTATGCAGTACATTTTTAAAATAGCCTTTTCTCGACCGTTCTGTAATGAAATTACATAAAAATGTAAGGTATGAAGGCTCGTTTAATAGACGAAATGAATTTCATCCTCTAAGAAATACAAAAATGGTCGGACATACCCACACAAAATAACAGTCTTTTTCATATAGAAGTTTAAGGGAAGGCTGTTAGATTTTCAGGGGGGAGCGGGTGGAAAATATTTAAAAGAACATTTTTTCCATACATGTACATTTGTTGAAAATAAATTATTTGTTGCAGAAGGTTTGATAAAATAAATAATTGCTTTGCTTCAGATTTTATCTCATTTCCCCTGGCATGAAAACATTCAATTTAAATCAGCCTATGACTAAAATAAATAATTTACCCCAAAAATTAGTATTTTATTCAAAATACTTCCAAGCTCAAACCACATCCCCCCTTTCCCCCCAAAAAAAAAAAAATCAAATCGTCCTCAGGAATCTATCTATGTAAATGTGTATGGAGAGAGGGTGTATTTTTACCTGTTTCTATGTTGAGGGCCTATCTTGTCTCCAAATAGTCTGTAGGCCTTGCCGACTCTCGGAGAGCACACTGCAGTCTTATCAAATGTATATGTGTGTTCTTATTTCACTGTGAAATGGGTATTGTGGGATTGTTTTTGTCAAAATTTGGTTAATTTCCACAAGAAATACCAGTAAATATGATAAGTCGTATTTCTTGTTCTTCCGTTCTAGGACAGACTACTTATGGTAAAATTATGTTTTCACAACACCTGTGACTGGTTTATTTCCTAATCCAGTGATTTTTTGGCAATAATACATAAAATAATTACATTATGTATGTACAGTGTGTCATGCAGTAATTTTATGACGTACGGGTCTTATATCAGGTCATAGCTTAGGTTAAATGAGATCTAATTAGCATTTAAATATTTCAGAAATCTATCAAAAATATTAGAAAGTTAGATGCAAATTTCAACATTTTGCAATAATTTGCCAAAATTGGATGTTTTTGATATTTTTCACAATAGCGGTGTGTTCATTCACTGATGCCTATTTCATGAAAAAACAAGTGCCACTTAAGAAGATTGATGGACTCAAACTTCCTTCAAAATTCATTTTGGCCTACAAGGCCTTCTTTAATACCCTCCCCCCTTTCCGAATAATCGTTTGATTCTAATCTTTCCTGACATGGTTTATTTTTGTATATCCAGGTCATTTTTAGCAAATATAAGTTTAAATGACCAGTAAAAATGTAAAAAATCAGAATTTATTCAGTTGAAACCATGCACATTTTTCACTAGCATTTTTTTGATTTTCAGAATATTTCAACAGTTCCGACATGCCATTTGGACAATATTGAGGATTTTGCATGATTTTATGGCAGACACTCTCTTAAATAGAGTTTTGAATAAAACTATTTGGCACATTTGTCTTATGAATTAGAGAAACTATTTAAGATTAGTCTAATTGTAAATGGTCAAACAACCACAACTTAGTTTACCACAATAAGAAATAAAGTTAAATGTGATATGTTAAAAAACAAAATACGTCTAAGTTACAATAAATATATAATACTTTCTTCATTATACATTACATCTTTCAACTCGACGCCATAATACATCCTACTATAAACGTTAAAAGGCTTTTCATCAATGTAAAATACTATTTTTTATGTTACATTACAGCTGGTCGTTCGTGGTGTACCTGCCGCCCCGGTTATTGCCGTAAATCGGAGCTTACTTTGGACAGAAATTGCAGACAAGCACCAATGTATCCATATAATTGGAATACCTGTTGTCAGTGGTATCCATGGTGGGTAACAAACCGAAACTACGGATATGGTGGTGGACTCGGTGGTGGACTAGCTGGGGGACTAAGTGGTGGAATCGGTGGTGGAATCGGTGGTGGAATCGGTGGTGTAATAGGCGGTGGCTTAGGGGGAGGAGTAGGTGGTGGAGTAGGTGGTGGAGTAGGTGGTGGAATAGGCGGAGGAGTAGGTGGTGGAATAGGCGGTGGCTTAGGCGGAGGATTAGGCGGTGGAATAGGCGGAGGAAAAAAGTCATATTAAAATAAAAGGTATGTATAATTCTAATTGTACTGATATTTTTTTCTCTCCAAAATTCGTATATATTTATTGTTTGCAAATGTGCAGGGTAAAGATTCAATTGCATAGAAATTTAATCAGCATCTTTCTCAGGTAAACTTAAGATTAGACGAGTTTGTCTGTTTGTCTTTCTTAAGCACTGAGTTGAATGTTTTCTTACATTAATTTGTTTTTTTTTATTTAATTTTAGCACCTTACGCCTTGAGCACAACAATATAGAAAATGGCGATCAAAATTCTTAACTCCGTTACTTACCAACATATATAAAAATGTTAATGTAAAAGTAAACAACACATTTACATACATGTTGAAACATTAGTAAATTTTTCTTCTCTTTTGTAGGATACAATCAAAGATTACAGTATAATGCATTTTCTTAAATAAAATGTATTTTGCATATACCCATTTTTAAAGCTTCTCTTGCATCATGAGTGTCTTGTTTGTTCACCAATTGAGGGTGTTCTATTTCTTTTTAATTTCGTTGATCGTTCATTTTTCGATAGCTTTGTATCCATCAAAATTTTAACCATTTTTGAACAATACCGTATACTTTCCTTAACAGTCAACAGTGGTCACTTTTTTTCTGATAATTTGGATGGTTGGTTTAACCGGTTTGTATTGTTAGCTATTTCTCTCACTCACCAAAATCTTTGACAAACGAGGCGATTTAAATTTTGAAATTGCAAATTCCCACACCTTAGCAGCAATATACAAACTTCACCTGCATGTGGGGTCTACATTTCCAACGTGAATATTCAATAGCTTGCAGCTACTACTCAGGCTTTATAAAACGTTACCATTTTCTGAGTAGAAAGTTGATGAACAATGGGCATTAATTGTGCACCCCTACTGGTCGATTTGTTTTTGTACTCGTATGAAGCAGAATTCATTCAGAACCTTCTAAAAGACAAAAAAAAAAAAAAAAAACTTGCGAAATTCTTTAATTTTACTTTCAGAAATATTGATGATGTCCTATCATTGAATAACCCATATTTCAGTCAATACTTACATCTCATATATCCCAGTGAACTTGAAATTAAGGCTACTACCGATACTAGAAGGACTGCTTCATAACATGATCTTTTCCTCAATATTGACACAGATGGACGACTTCACACGAAAATCTATAATAAACGGGATGATTTCAACTTCCCAATTATCAATTTCCCGTTTCTCAGCAGTAACATACCCGCTGCCCCTTCGTATAGTGTTTACATATCCCAGTTGATACGTTATGCTCGTGCGTGTTCACACTATACGGACTTCATATACAGGAGTGTTCTCCTAACGCAGAAACTGCTCCAACAAAGTTATGAGGAGGACAGATTAAAAATGACACTCCGTAAATTTTATTGACACCATCACAAATTGTTTGATTGATACGATGTGTCTTTGTCCAAACTAAGAAAGGACATTTTTAGCACGTGTTAAATTGTGGTTTTCCATTACGTCGTCTAATCTTTCAAGTACCGAACGTGACTTATTCCCGATTGTAACTGTTTTGCTGAGTGTGAATTCGCATTGCTATAAGACGTGTTACGGTATTTTTCTATTCAAAATCCATGTATTTAGTTTTGATGTTATATTTGTTATTCTCATCGGATTTTGTCAAATGTCTTATCGTTTGTAGTTGGTAAATCTAATTTTTTTCTGTTTAATTCGTGTGTTACAGTAAAGATAATTAATCACCCAGTTCATTTATAAGATTTCAGTTAGGGTCAACTAAATTTAAACGATGTATTTGGTTTACAGTTTGATTTAGAAAAAATACCGACATAGCTTGATAATACAATTAATTATCTAATTACTATCACAATTGTATATTAATTAGTATTGTAATTTTCATTGTTATTAATACATGTTATATCAGTATTACAAACTTATCTTGAATTATGTCCTATTTTTTTGAAATTTATAAAAATGTATATGTGACGTTACATTGTGCGTCGATCTCTTCGGCTAAAATACAATACGTTGTTCGGCTGTGCCTTCTTTATGTGCTGATATAAGTTGTTTTAACATTCGTTTTTATTCTGTAGTTAGTCAACACTTCGGTGTTAACATGTATATCTATTATATAGTCATTTTTATGAATTTACTGTTTGCAAAGTATGAATTATTCTAAATACTACGGATTTTCTTATCCCAGGCATATAACCTTAGCCGTATTTGGCACAACTTTTTGGAACTTTTGGTCCTCAATGCTCTTCAACGTTGTACTTGTTTTGGCTTTCGAATTTTTTTTATCTAAGCGTCACTGATGGGTCACTGATGTAGACGAAACGCGCTTCTGGTGTTTTAAATTATAAGCCTGGTACCTTTTGATAACTATTATCTGTGTGTGTCTCTGTCCTGTATGTTTTCCCATTTATTTGTATTGTAGTCTTGTCATGTAATCTTGTCATTTTAATGTTATATTTAACATTGCCATAAAAGCGGGAGGTTTGGCTAGCCACAAAACCAGGTTCAACCCCCCCCCCCCCCCCCCCCACCATTTTTTCTCAAAATGTCCTGTACCACGTCAGGAAAATGGCCATTGTTATATTATAGTTCGCTTATGTGTGTGCTGCATTTTAGTGTTGTGTTTCTGTTGTGTCGTTGTTCTCCTCTTATATTTGATGTGTTTCCCTTAGTTTTAGTATGTAACCCGAATTTGTTTTTTTTTCAATCGATTTATGAATTTACAATAGCGGTAAACTACTGTTACCTTTATTTCTAGTCCTTTTTTCTAAAAAAGTTCATTGGAAGATACCAAAACCTTGTGGATAAATATTCCGTATCAACTTTCAAAATAATGCTTAATGGTATTGAAGTTTAGGTTTTATCATCTTAATTACGTGTTATAGTGTTCTTTTTATTTGTCCTTGCACTTTTTCAACATTTACTGTTTAGTTCATTTTTGGTAATATTCTTTTGGCGTAGCTAGGTATTTATACGTCATTCCGTTGTGCTATTGTGCTATTTGAGTGTCTATATGCAAGATTGTTTTTATATTATAGTGATTAAGATTATCACACAATGCTGACTGCTGTGCCCCAATTTTTGACATGTTTGCCTATTATGTCTAGTATTGCTTACACTTTGTTGTCAATATAATGGAAATATATGCGACTGTCATACAAGTGAGAGGTTTAGCTAGCTACAACCCTTTGTATAATCCACTATTTTCTACATAGGAAATGCCAGTATGAAGTCGGTAATATGACAGTTGTTTTCCATTTGTTTGATGTGCTTGAGCTTTTGATTTTGCCATTTTGTAAAGGACTTCTCGTTTTGAAACTCTCCTAGGAGTTCGGTATTTTTGTTTTTTTGATTTTGTTTCTGTAAGGTAGTTGTTTGTAGCTCTGTTATATTGACAAAATTTGGTTAGCAACTTTAGCAGACATAATAAGATAATTTGACATTAATTAGGAACCAGCAGCCAAAACCTGTGTAAATATACAACTACAAAAAAATTCAAACAAACATACAAATAAATGTAGCAATGGCGCCAACAAAAAAAGACTTGTAGGTCAAAGTATATTGACACAGACGCAGATAGAAAGTTGTTTGAAGGTGGTAGTACATACATGTACCGTATATAGTTTACACTTTCATGTTAAAGTAACCATTACCAACGGGTGCTACATGCAGAGCAGGATCTGCTTACCCTTCCGGAGCACTTGAAATCATCACCAGTTTTGGTGGGGTTCGTGTTACTCAGTCGTTAGTTTACTTTGTTGTGTTTTGTGTACTATTGTGTGTCTGTTAGCCTTTTTTCTTTTTAACCATGGCATTGTCAGTTTATTTTTGATGAGTTTGAATATCCCTTTGATATCTTTCGCCTGCCTTTCTTTTAAGTAAAATTTAAATTCAAGGGAAAAATAAATAAAAAAAACATCCTGCATCCGAATCGGACTTCAGGACCAAACTGAACAAGGAAAGCCCAAAGTAAAATATTAACCCAATAGTGGGACGCATAAATACTGATTCCAATAGAAATTAATAGAACGAAGACACATTAAGGAAAACTGGTAAGTAAATGAGAAGGAACACAACTTCAGCGTATATAATCTCTAACTCAATACAAGTGTATATCATTTGTAAAGTAGACAGTGAATATCTATCTTTTAGGTCTTGGTATTTTTCGATGAACGTTTTGGTAAAAATGACAAGACGTTCTTTAACAAAATCCTTGCTCAATAATGTTTAGTGTAAGTTTTGACGAGCAAAAGACTGTGAAACAAAGACATAAAAAACTATTAAGTTATTTAATGTGAGAAAAAATAAATTTCCAAAGGATTTTTTTTGGGGTAAATATAGGTATTTTATAAACTCGCAAACCGGCATCACAAAGGGCTTTTCGGGGTATACCAGATTATGAAAAATGTTACCTCACTTCGTTCCCCGATAAAATAACTACATATGTAAATATTTGCGATACGGACAGAGACAATGAAGAAAACGCTTCCATTTTCGCCTTCATGAAACAAATTGTGCATATTGACCCAAATGGTGTTTGTGCATTTTTTTTTATAAAAAACTACAAGACAAAGCTTCCATTAAAACGTTTAAACTCGCTGCACCTTTCCTAAGTCAGGAATCTGATGTTCAGTAGTTGTCGTTTGTTGATGTGGTTCATAAGTGTTTCTCGATTCTCGTTTTTTATATAGATTAGGCCGTTGGTTGTCCCGTTTGAATGGTTTTGCACTAGTAATTTTTTGGGCCCTTTATAGCTTGTTGTTCGGTGTGAGCCAAGGCTCAGTGTTAAAGACCGTACTTTGACCTATAATTGTTTGACAAATGGAGAGTTGTCTCATTGGCACTCATACCACATTTTCTTATATCTATTGATACTTTGTAATTCATCAAATTTTATAAATCAAAGTTAATAATTAATGTATTTAATTGTTTGATAGCCCACTTGTTGTAGACGTTAATGCAATTCGGCGTACTGTGTTGTATTTAAGGTATGGACATCGCTCAACACAGGTACTTACGTAAGTTATTTGTTCTTTTTCTTTTTTTTATATTTATAAGGCAGAACTCACAGTCGAGTAGGTTATTTACATGCGTGATGAAATCACTCATTTACACGAAAGCAACTGTATATGTATACTGAACGACTTAAAATTACTTTACAATGTATAATGCTATACATGAAAATTATGTATGTTTTAGATATTTTTATTGGTGGTAATTATTTGATTTTTTTTTCACTTTTGAATTTAGGAACAGAAATGTGAAACAAAAAGGAAAAAAAAAGGTTCATTTTTTGGCAGAGACTTGATTTATATGAAAACCTTTAGTCAAGTATCATTATTCTTTCACATTATTTCGAAAAAAAAAAAACTTCTAACAAATGAAAACAAATTTACATACATTGCATTTTTATATCATATTTTTATATACATAGAGATGA